AAAAAACAACAACTAGGCTATATTTAGGTGCTTTTTTGTAAATAACCGACGGTATCAAGAGGAAGTAAAGTCCCCTTATACCCTAACTACCATGAGACAACTCAAAATCAAGTTTCCAAAATCCAACACTGACGGCCCATACACACGGCGGCGTGCTTTGTCGCTTCAACGCTTCTGCCCATTCACTTTGAATGGGGTGACCTCACGATTCGCCGAACTGCATTGTGGGAGAAAAGCATAGCTTCTCTCGCAGTGCTCGCTGCAAAAGTAGAGCAATGTTCTACTTTAGCCGCCTCGATGGAGGCGTCAGCCAATCGAATCATATGCCAGTACAAGCTTATTTTAACGGCCCGTCCACACTACAGCTTCAAAATAAAAGCTTGGAGCTGGGCGTGTCTGAAGCTTGGGGATTTTATTCGAGCACTGCGACCAACAACCAATCACATGAATGTCCCGCCCCCGGCATACAAAGCAAAAAACCCCGGGGANCAAGAGGAAGTAAAGTCCCCTGGTTTGTCCCTTATACCCTAACTGCCATGAGACAACTCAAAAGCAAGTTTCCAAAATCCGACACTGAGGTGGTCTTAACGCACCGGCAGATGACAGCGCTGACAAAGTGTGTTTCCCGCAGCGAGACGCTACAATACTAATTGTGGGCTTATCATGTTAATTCGGCCACAACAGAAAAAATAAAAATAAACTCTTGCTCTCTCCAGAGGGGCAGGTCAGCCAAAAAGGCCAAACGGGCCGTTGCCCGGGCAACATTAGCCCGTACCTGTGCACGTCCATGGACGGTATCTTACTCAGTGATGTAGGAGGCTGATAATTACATTTGTATGACGTTTTTAAATGCATGCAGCAGGGGTGACGATGAAGACAAGACTAAAACCATATGTACAGTCCAGGTTTTCTTGTCTGCAATATAAATGGAACTTTAAACTTGCTATCATTTGAGTGTATTTACTGGACTGCCTGCAGGTCTGTAACCGACAAAGAAAATAAATGAAAAGGTGAGAGATTCAGCAACTGATAGTAGAGCTGAAGCTGTGTTTACTGTATGATGTATGGAACATGCCAGAGTGTGGATTTGTCTGGACAGGTACGGGGACATGGCTGTCATTCTCTGGAACATTCATCTCTGACACACCTGAGGTGTGTATTGGGTACTTAATTACAAAGGAAACAAAACAAGTGGGATGGTTTTAGTAATATTGGTAAATGATTTCATGTACATTCCTCAAACATATTTAACATTTCTCAATTTAAAAGGGCTTCCAAGAGGAGCGCCCTTTGCCCTGGCCTTTGGCAATCCAGTAACGATCAGTGGAAGTATGATGGGGTTGTAGAGCGCAACAACTGTGGTTGAAGGGAGAGGTCTGAGCCTCTAATCTCATCATTGCAGCTTAAAGAAAGCAGACAGGTTGAAATGGTTCTGATGCTTTGAGTTTCCCAGGGGACGGACAGCATGGAGATCTTTTCTCAAGCTCCTGTTGCTGGTTAAAGTTACAGTGCTTTTCTACAGCTTAACCAGCAGCAGTGCACAACTACTTCAATGAATCTGCTATGTCTATTTAATTCATTGATAACGTTTATATCTTACATGCTCTTGCATTTACTCCCAAAGTAAGTACTACACAGCGTTTACCTCTATTAAGCTTTAATTTGCTCATTTGCAGGTCAAAACAACTTGACTGAAACCAGGATATATTTATAAAACATATTAATAGTATATTGCTATCGGATTGGTTACAAGTCAAAAGTACAGTAATAGCGTGTCTACACCAGTGTTTTAAGAAGTACCCAGATCATTTAATTAAGTAAAAGTACAAATATTTTGGACTTAAATTACTCCATTACATGTCAAAGTTCTGATTTCAAAATGTTTCTTAAGTAAAAGTACAAAGGTGTTAGCATCAAAATATACTTAAAGTACCAAAAGTACATTTGCTCATTCTGCACATTGGCCCATTTCAGAATAATATAAAGTACACAAGTATAATAAGCTAAATGTACTTCGAGTATCAAAACGAAAGTACTCATTATGCAGAATGGATCTGTATACATTATATTATTATTATATGATCCTGTTTTTATACATATTCATTTTAGTATTGTAATTCAGCAATGTAGACAAAATGTAGATATGTGAACTACTGTGGAGAGTACTAGTACAATACTGTATTATGCCATATCAGCATATCAGGTATTTTATATGGACAATGTAGTGGAGTAAAAAGTTCAACATTTGCCTCTGAAATGTAGCAGAGTAGAAGTTTAAAGTAGCAATAAATGAACATACCTAAATAAAGTACAAATGTGTCAAAAGGTACTCAAGTACAATACTTGAGTAAATGTCACTTTTCATCAGTGGTCAACAATAAATGCTACTGTTCAACACTTCAGAGGAATGTGCATGTTGAAGGCAGCAGTAGATAGTGGTTAAGTTGCAGAAAAGTCAAAAGAATGTGTTTGTATCACATCAAAACTTCTGTCAACTTACTCTCTCCACTCGTGACCTAGTGCTTATATTGAACCTGTTGCAATCAATTCATAGCCATTATAGTACCATGTGTAAACTAGTTAGTTTAGTTCACACTAAAACTAAAGCCCAACAGTGAACACAGGTTGTCCCGCCTTCTCCCGTTGGAACGTTAGTTTAGATGTGGGACAGCTGAAAGGCTTACCATTTGGTTTTGACACTGCTGAATCTTGAACATATGCAGTCATTTATGTGGCAAGATATGAATCTGTCTATTTGGTTGACAGTTAACAAAAACAGTGTGAATAGCGAGTTTATTTATTATTTATTAATAATAATAAGATGGCGGCGGAGACAGCAGCAGCGGCCCCTAGCTCTCCCGAGTCTTTAGCGTTTTCAAGTGTTTTTAACGTTTGTTCGTCTAGTTCGTGTAGTTCACCATCCATGCAGGAATACAGGCTTGTAAACATTATCTACTGTGTCCACATGGATATTAGCCCAGTCCTGCAGCAGGGTATAGAGCAGTGGAACCAGGAGGTGGCTGTAATTTTCTCATTATTTTCTGTACACTGTATATGTTAACCATGTCGCCCTCTGATATCTCCTTCCAGCTTCCTGCTGCCGCCACTAAATCCCTAAGTGGTTGCTAAGGCAACAATACTACTCCTCCATTTGGAAACACTACAAATTAATTAGAGGAAGGGGATTTCCATGTGAGCCCCCACTGACAGGATCAAGACTGAACCCATAATCACGCTCTGAGTTTTGGAGCTACAGTTATAATAATGTATACAGCTGCTGTAAGCATAGAGCACCATGGATTCATTCTGTAATGCTACTTGCTACATATTGAGCCTCGTTTTTCCCTCCTATATTTGTGTACATTCTGTAACATTTTCCCCATTAAATGAAGTGTAACGAGCTATTAGTGGCTTTTGCCCAGCCTTTCAGTTGCTGGAATTTTGGCATGCAGTGACATCACTAAAGATGAATGTGACTGAGCAATTAGACAGGTTGTTAACAAGCAGCAGTTAAACAGGATTATTTACACCAATCAAGAGGTTAAACTGAAACTGAGCACACCTGTAAAGCACTGTTAATGTTTGTGTGCAAAACTGTGTAAATACAACCTGGATAAGTATGATTACCTTTTAACAACCATTGTAATTTTGCCTTTGTTTTTCTCTTCGCAATAACTCTGCCTCACCTGGCTTCTGTTCCTGAGCTGTCTGACTGCTTGATTCTCGCCTCATCGGACTTCTATTGACAAGTTCAGTACATTCCAGTACCTTGGCATTAACGCAGTGTTTAAGGGTAGAGGAAATACAGAATTAAATGTAATATTGGGTTTATAGCTTTAGGAAGAACTAGTTGCAACACAGAACGAAGGCCACATATCTGAAGAGTGAAGCTGAATCATGCTCCCTCTGTATGGGGCGGCTGTGGGTCAGGAGGTATTCCACTTATCGGAAGAAATGTGCTTCTATCCACTCTTCCAGTTTGCATTTCAAAATGTCCTTGGGCAGGTTACTGAACCCCACATTGTTCCCAGAGGCACGGCCATTGGTCAGTTTGTGACTGAGCATTAGATTAGATCCTCATGAGCCGCCCAGCCATCAGTGTGAATGTGTGGGAGGGGCGGTGCATGTGGGCATGTAGTGTATTACATTACATTACATGTCACTTGTTAGACACTTTACACAAAGTGACTTACATACATTCAATACTGTGGGCAATCACCACAGGAGCAATTTGGAGTGGAGTTTCTTGAACCAGTGCCCCCCTGATACAAAGATCAGACTAGAAAGCCGCAATATAAGTCCCTTCACCGTTTGCCAAGTAGGCAAACAAGCACAGAAAGTCACTTGGATTTATTTGTGTGGCCTTTTTATAAATACCTGCCTCCTGACAGGAGATGATAAACCAATGAACCAATTACTTTCTGTTGGTGACCTCCAGTTACCCTAAAACCCTTCTCTGTGTGGCATGTTGAATTATGTTTGCATTTCCAATAAGCAGAATTCCAGCTTTTCGGCCGTGAAGAGCAGTTTTAAATGGATTACAAGATGAGAGAGAGACAGACTGTGTCTGACATAGCTCAGCAGACGGTTGATGAATCCTTCACATTTGTTAAGGATAAAGAACCTGTTCTAACTTTGGAGATGTTAATACAAGTGGAGACAGTCATAGCTTATAATTTGTGATACTTATTTCCCAAGTGTAAATCCTGCTCAAATGGGAAAATTGTCAAATTATCAAACCCAAAATAACTGATGACAGACAAACTGTTCCAAGATATTTGGATGCGTTGTCTATTCCTGATTCTCATAAGACTTAATTCACACCTTTAGCAAACTCAGAAGAACTCTTTAAACTCACTTTGGGTTTATCCATGTCTGACCTTCTGACAGAGGCAGGGTAGACTTCCTGCTCTACATTTTTCTTAGATAAACTAAGAAAAAATCAAAATCAAATTATAATCTTCAACACGTTTAAGGACCTTATTAGGGAGCCACTGTACCTGCCGGTCATGAGCTGGCTCCGGGACGGGCTACAGAGCGGCTGCACGTAGTAATTCTCCAGTTTGACCCCCTGCGCTGCCAGCCGGTCCAAAGTCGGCGTTTTGATCTCGGAGCCGTGGTATCCCACATCCCGGAAGCCCTGGTCATCCACCAGGATGAAGATGATGTGCGGCGGGGAGCTCGGCTTCTCAAACTCCTTCTCCCGGTTGCGCAGGTCGGCGTTCCAGTTATCCCACGACATCTGAACGCTCCACGTCTGAGAAACGACGAAGCTGAGAAACAGGGTGACGGGGACCCACAGCAGGAACATGATTCAGATAGATCCAGATCCACAGCTCCAGGCACGGTTACTGTCGGGCAGTGGGACGGTGTGTCCGAGTGGGAACGTGTTGCACATTTTCAGGGGGGGGCAGCACCGCTTGGTAATCGGGTCTGCATCTTGTTCAGTGTTCAGTCCTCCTCTCCAAACCATAGACTGTATGAGGCTCCAACACTGACAGCGGTGTGTGGGGCGGCAGAGGTTACAGCTCTGTGGATGAACCCCCGGGGAGCCCAACACTCTGCATGGTGCAAACAAGTTCCCAAACTGTATGTACAGAGGATGAGATATCGCCCCTCCGACTCAATAAGTTGTTGTCAAAAGACGCGCCGAACTTCCAAAGAACGAGCAGACCATGAAGCGGCTTGTGCGGTGCGTTCACGGCAGATCGTGTCCTCCGTCCTGTCCCTGCTGGGCGGAGAGCGGAGAACCTGTGAGGAGTTCAGGCTCACCCTGGACGTGTTTCAAGAGGAGGCTGGTCAATGTGGATGCCCTGCAGCAGGCTACACTTTGATGCGTTCACGAGCCGCTCGGAAAGCTCGACACCCACGGTTTAGTGGGGGGTAACGCTGCACATTTCATTTTCCAATGTATATTTTGTTATTCAGCATATCTTTTCTCTTCTGTACATCCATGAAAAATCACATTTGTTTATCAGAATTAGAAACAGGTTTATTGCTTAGTAAGTTTACACATAGGCCTACAAGGAATTTTCCTATGTGTATTTTGTGCATACATAAACAGTCAAACAAGATTAATTGAAAGAAAAAACACCATAAACTAAACAATTGTAAAAAATGTAAAACTATTTTAGCATAAAAATGTAGGGATATATATGTGAAAATATATATACTACGTAAAGTATAATAAGACAAAATATTAATAAAATAGGTACAGAAATAAAAATAAATAAAAGAGCAGGGGAGATATATTTCACATCCTCCCTGGTGAAAGGAAGGTACACTGAGTGACATGTAGAGGTAAGGCTGCAAGAACAACCATTGTGCAAACTGTATTTCATTTACTTATTTATGAGGGCAACAGACACTAATCAACACTGTCGTAAATGCACTAGTGTTAGTATTCATTTCAACTGCAGTCCTATGTTGAGACTTTTTGAAACCAGCGATGACACCACACAGAAAGTAAAAAGCATTGTCAAGACACAAGCCATAAAGAGACGCAGGAAACAGATCAGCTGTGTATTACATTCACATTGTACACTTTACAGTACATGTAGCCATGCCATCGAGCAACACCAACCAACAAGAAAACTGCCAAGCAATATTTATTTTTTTGCACATGCAGAGCAGCAATAGGAAATGTCTGAATGTAGCAATCGCAGATGGAGATCTTGTTAAACATTTTAAAAGATGGAGTTACAAGGCAGTAAAATCCTGAATTGTCACTATGAACACATGAGCCATGCAGCACAGACCTGAAAAACTCAGTAATAAAAGATTAGACCAAATTGTAATAAAGTGCAAGTCAGTACTCATATATACCATGTGCGTGCAAAGCAACAACAAGATACAGAAACATGCTGCTTATTAATAAAAATAACCACAACATTAGCCAGAGGTGGGAGAAGTACTCAGATGTTGTACTTGAGTAAAAGTAGAAGTACCAGAGTGTAGGAATACTTTGTTACAACTAAAAGTCCTGCATTCCAAAAGTTACTCAAGTAAAAGTAGAAGTACTCAGATGTTGTACTTGAGTAAAAGTAGAAGTACCAGAGTGTAGGAATACTTTGTTACAACTAAAAGTCCTGCATTCCAAAAGTTACTCAAGTAAAAGTAGAAGTACTCAGATGTTGTACTTGAGTAAAAGTAGAAGTACTCAGATCTTGTACTTAGGTAAAAGTAGAAGTATCAGAGTGTAGGAATACTCTGTTACAAGTAACGTATTGCATTCCAAAAGTTACTCAAGTAAAAGTAAAAAAGTATTAGCATCAAAATATAGTTAAAGTACCAACGGTAAAGTAGTCATTGTGCAGATTGGTCCAATTTCAGAATAATATATATTATATATTATTGTATGTATATATGTATGTAATGATTGATCATTAAAGTGTTCTCAAAGCTGGTAAAGGTGCAGCTAGTTGAATGACTTTGTATACTGCATGGTAGCTTGTGAATTTACTCTAGGTGGAACTAAAGTCGGATTTAAGAGTTGATTATATTTCACATCATTCATCCAGATCTGTGAAGGTAATACATATATGTAGTGGAGTAAAAGTACACTATTTACCTCTGAATTGTAGTGGTACAAAGTAGGGAAAATGGAAATACTCAAGTAAAGGACTACTTAGTTACTTCCTGGAACATTAGCACAACATAACAACTGTTTCCAGGGAACTGTGAGCAGTGATGCACACTTGTTGTTGCCATGTCTTTTGGTTCATGATGAGTAAAGTTGTTTTGTCATTATTGTTGATGAATTAGCTCAAATGTAGTTTACTTTTGGGTTTATTCATTCATTGTGATCACATTGATTAACATATTATTGAAGACATCTATTGTTAACCTGCCGTTAGGCTTTTGATTATTACTCTCCTGCCAATTCTAATAATCTGACAAAAAGCACACAGTTCTTTGTTTTACAGGGTTAAGCAATAGGGTTATTGTTCCTTCAAATTTGTCACCAAGTTCTGGAAGTAATAAGTAGCACTTCCAGAACCTACATTAGAAGCAGAAAAGGTGGATGATCGGGGAACATAGAGGTTGTAACCTGTTAGGAGTCTTTCCCAAAACAGGTGACATGTTTGCAGGTACGCGTGTAGTTTGTGTACAAATATTGAACATCTTAAAAAGTAAATGTAGCCTTACAGCATGAACAGGTTGATCAGGATAAAGGTGTTTGTTGATTAAAGCTGATCTAGCAGCAGCCTCTCCTTGGTGCTGCTCCATAACTGCCAATAAATGGTAAATGGACTGTACTTATATAGCGCTTTATCCAGTCTTTAAGACCCCTCAAAGCGCTTTACATACTACATGTCATTCACCCATTCACACCCATTCATACAGAGCAGTGTACCTTACTCTAGGACCTAACATTCACACACATTCACACACCGTTGGCCATGCCATCGGGAGCAACTCAGGGTTAAGTATCTTGCCCAAGGATACATCGACATGTTGACTGCATGGGCTGGGATCGAACCCACAACCTTCTGGTTGAAAGACGACCACACTCCCTCACAGCCACAGTCGCCCAATATTAGCATGATGCTGCTGGGCTGCCATAAAGAGGTCTGCTGTGAGCCACTGAATCAGGCAGGAGGTGTCCGGGGCCTGGGGGCCTGTACAGTGTACCTCTGAAAGACCCCTCACATGCTAGGAATATGAAGCTTCTGGAAATGCATGCTTGCACAACACACATGAACAAACAGCTGTAAAACCAGTGGTATTGACACTTGAATAAATGTTCAGTTTGACAAAGTTTACAGATTGGAGCGTCCAGAGCAGGGGTCTCCAACCTTTTTTAGGATGAGAGCTACTTTCAATAAATAAAACAAGTCATGAGCTACTTTTACTCCTCTTTTTTTTGTTGCACTTTATATATTTAGCACATTTTAACATTATTATATGCTTACCTTTAACCTTTGTGTGCTGTTTGGATCATGTGGGACCCTTTTCAGTGTTTACTAAAAGAACATTTATGCAATTAAATTATTTTAACCTGCTTTATTTGGGGGTGGACCTCACATCCTCTAAGGGGGTCCGGGGACATACACCCCCGGGATTTTTTTTTTTAAATGTTGAAGTTAAATGCATCAATCTGGTGCACTTTGAACACAACATGAATGTATGGATACAGCTCTCAACACTCAGATGAAAGGGAGCTGTATACTTTTCAATAATCCAAAAATCTTTAGAATATGATCACAACCAATAACACATCCTTTAAACTTGTTTATTCTTATCTTATGTTACCTATAGCATTCTTTCTTCTTATTTATGCATATTTGACTAATCACTCCCCTTTTAAACTGTTTTTTTTTTTTTTTTTTACTGTCCTATAATGATTTCTTACTTTATCTTTTACAACTATATTAAATAGACGAAGGTGTGCATTACAATATTTGTTTACAGAGATGACCAAATAATTTGAGAAACACTGAGATAACTTAGACTATTATAACTATCCAAAACACTCGGAGAGTCCTTTACCTCACTGAGCTGTAGTTATCAGCCTCTCAGTCTGACAGGAGAGAGCTCTCCCTCTCCTTGTTGTAAAAACAGCTTCTAATATCTGTTA